GTGGTTGCACAGCATTTCAGGTTGTGACAAGCTGCAGCCTCTGTGTAGTGAAAAGGGGAGGAAAAAAAAAAACCCTTCTTCACAAGAGAAAGTATGTACCTTCAAACAGTCTCACTAGCCTTCTGCAGAAAGTACAGAAGGTAACAGCTCTGCTTGGCCTAGGTTATTTAGTTTTCATAATTGATGGTGCAAAAATTCTGACCCCAAGGAGACAACTGGCACCCAGCTTCCTCACTGTGAGTCCCACAACTGGCAGGTGGGAGCAGTTCCCCCTCCCCTGACGCACACAGTGGCTTCCAATTACACAAAAATGAAAGGAGGGACTATATAGTTTAAATGACCAAATTCTGCTCCTTTCCCTTGCCGATACAGAGCTGCAACAAGATCAAAACTGTGGTACTGGGCTTTTTTGTTTGTTTCCATTTGGATAAGTTTTCACTGGCCTCCTTACAATCCTTATTTGTGTGTGTTGGTATGTATTTCCATTCTGGCAGCCAACAAGTTTGTAGCTATCCAGTGAGGTTTGGATAAATAAATGAAGTAAAAAAAACTCCCTAGTTTTTTTACTTCAGATCCCCCTCCCCTAAAACTAGCTACAGTTTCTGTAGCAGCATTATATAGTGTTTGGTTACAGCAACTTCCATGCTTTAAAAAGAAAACAAAAAAGTTGGTGAGGGTACATTGTAGAGGCAATGTCTCTTGTACAGAGACCCCTACGCAAGGGCTGTATTTTTGTTTTAACTGAAACATTTCATAAAACTGGTCTAAGGAAAGAGACGTGTCTTCAGTAAAGTCCATGTAATTACTAGCAATCAAATTGCAACCTAATGCCATCTTTAAGCAGGAAACCAAGAGGAAGGCTGAAAAAAGCAATTCTCCATTAAACAGGCAGTCCCCGGTGACCAGCTCAGCAACACCATTTGTGCTATCTTTACCAGCTGCTTCAAACCGCCTCAGAAAATACTTAGGAGCATAGGCCCACAGGAACAACCGGCAGCCAGGTGCACCCTGCAGTCACTCTCTTGCAACATTCCCTGTTAATGGGACATAAGATAGATACAACAATGTGTATTTTAACATGTCTTGGTAAGTTTTACATACATGGATACATGAACCCTGAGAGGTAGGAGATGATAGACATATCTGTTTAGCAACCATTTTAGAATGCAAAAGCTAGATCCGTACACACATCCACGTGCACACACACCTGAGAGCCAAACTTCAGCCCAGAAAAAAGGCCACTAGCCATCTGTTTGGCAGGGGGAGTGAGGAAAAGGGAAACATGCTGAGCCCACTGAGCAAATCCCGCAAAAGCACTGCAAGCCCCATGCTACCAGACATGAGTCCAGCAGAGCACTCATGGAGCAATGTGGCCATGCCCTGGTTGCATAGTCCAGCTGGTCGGCGTGGGACAAAACGGCCACCCTACTCCTGAGCAGTGTGAGCTGATGAAGCTTCTGTTGTGCGCATGGACATCACCACCAGCTGTCATGGCAAGATGCAGATGGTGCAACACCATCCTACACCCATGCCAGCAAGCATTGCCTACAAATTTTACAAAATTGCTTATAAAATTCTTCCCTGAGTTGCAGAATGAAGGAAAGCTTGGCTTTTTAGGAGCTCTGGTGTTCAGAAAGACATCATCTTCAACTGAAGTCATCCCCCATGTGTCGATGAAAGTCAGCCTCTCAATTACTGTATTATTTCAGCCGCTTTTGTCTCCGTACTCTCCTGCTTTTCTTTCCATACTCTCAGGCCCCTTACTAGAGTTCAAATCATTCATCATTTTTCAAGCATCATCCTCTGACATCTGCCATTACTTTTCTTATCTGGAGTTTCCATCACATTTGGACGTCAGCTGGAAAAAAACTGGTGCATGCAACATGGGAGAGCACAAACATGTGGCATTGCTCTAAACCTCTCTGGAGGTTTATCTGCTTGAGGGGAGAACTGGACCAAATTAAGCTTATTTTTCCTGTCTGCAAAGCCCATGAAGGTATTTGGCGGGGGGGGGTAAGGCTTGAGCAGGGAGCTTGCACTCTCCAAAGTGAATGCTTCAGTGTTGTTTCTATTATCTCCAGGGAAAATAGAAGGAGAAAAAAAAAAACAACACACAAAACCCACTCTTAGCAGCTAGTTCTATACGAACAAACAAGCATGCAGCAAGCAGTTAGATACTCAGCCAGTCAAGGAGAAATAATGTAAATAAAGACAAAATACCTCATTTTCAAGCTTCTCAGGAAAAACAACCATCAGATGACCTGTTACCACACTCCTCCTGAATGACACAGAGGTAACAGAAAACAAATCGCAAAGGTAACCCCTTCCCCACATTACTTAGCCACAGATTTCAGTAGGAGGCTCAACTATGTGCAACTTCAAAACAATCTGCCTAAGGAACTAGTAGGCCATAGCAGATAAATGACCAAACTTGGACTGCCCGCTAAAAGTGCCTGGCTGGACACTACAGCTATTGTGCTGTTTTAGTTTAAGAGGTCAAAGAGCAACTGTTAGTCACATATGCCAAACTCCAGGCTGATTACAATCACTGGAAGCACAGGCTTCCCAAGGCTTCCCAAACAGTGGACTCTGCTCTAGGTTGGGACTTTAAAGGTGTCTTGCCTCAACCTCACTCTGATCATCACATGCTAGGGACAGTGAAAGCTCACATTTTGCTGTTCTGCTTTCTTGGGAAGTAGGTCTCTGAGCCAAAGCATTATGTGCAACTGAGTATGTATCACCACCAATTAACTGAGTGTTACGTTAGCCTGATTCATACTTTCAGTCTTTTGGGAATTCAGTAAGTTTTCTGCATAAACTGTATCCCTCAAATCCACAGTGAAAGCTTGGAAATAGATCCGTTAAGATACACACAAATGTCTCTTACCAGATGAGAGAAGGAAGCATGGAGTTAAACCGCTATCTGTTCTCTAGAGAACTCCCTTCCTTCAGCATAGCCCAGAATAAATAATGTACTCCATTGAAGAAACACTCCTGTTCTTTCCTTGTACATGAAGCTGAAAAAGCCGCACATAAACTTCAACTGACATTAAAGTAGAGCAGCATTTGAGGATCCATCCCACAGACACTGTAATGTTTACGTAAAATTGCTGTTGCTCACGTGGAAACACTAAGATTTTTACTGTGAGGGTGATTGAGCACTGGCACAGGTTGCCCAGAGAGGCAGTGGAGTCTCCCTCCTTGGAGACATTCAAAAGCCACATGGACATGGTCCTGGTCAACCAGCTCTAGGTGGCCCTGCTTGAGCAGGGGGTTGGACCAGATGACCTCCAGACGTCCCTGCCAACCTCAACCCTTCTGTGATTCTGTGAAAGTAGATCTCTGTCTGTCATCTGTGCAGCTCCGGGGCCTGCCTATTGATGGAAAAAGGCTTTTTTAAATTAAAAATTAAACAAACAAAAAAAACCCAAAACATTTGGAGCCTTCAGTCAAATAGTGATTGGAGGAACACTCACTGGCAAGTCTAGAAGCAGTAACACTAACTGGTACTTCTAATCCTGATTCAGCGCATCTCTCTTCACAGAATACGAGTTATTGATTCCCTTTCAGGACTGAAACTGCTAAACACCTTCAGTGTCATCAGTGCTTGAGTTTTTAATGCATATGTAATTTTGGGGTTTTTGTAAATAAGCTGTGCAGCGTGAGGGAAAAATATTCAAATGGGTAATCTCTCAGACTGTACCTGCAGCCATTATTTGAAAAACTTGTGCACTGCATGTTACAGAATGCAGTGCTGTTATTCACAGAATGTATGTGGTCTTTCCTATCCACATATCCTTACCCGGCTCTCACACCTACAGTAGGAAAACAAGCTCCTATCTGAAGTGAACTAAATGGATTACACTACAATGCAGACACACCAATGGCTTTCAAAGCAGACACAAACATGCTGTTTCTGAACTGGGTAAACTTAGGCACTTCAGGAACACTAACAGCATCATCTCAGAATCCAGCATAGATTATCTACCCAGGTTTTCAGGTGTAACCTGAACTGAGTCCCAAGCTTCCCCCGCTAGTGTGTTGGAAGGTAAACCTGATCTAGTTTAAAACAAAAGTTAAGTTTCTAAAGCATTTCAAGTCTGCACTACACTGAGTGCAAGCTAACCACGCTCTTTCAAGTGCAATGAGCATACTTGGCACTTGGTGTACTAAGCATCAATTTGAATCAAATAACTGCTAAGCAACACATTTTTTTATACAATTCCCTGGTCTATGCAAGATGTAGAAATAGAATTTTACACTTTTACAAGAAAAAAGATTAGTTCTCCAGCAAATCTCTGTCTATGGCTAATCACTCTACTTTTACTTACATTATGAATTACATTTCTGTATTAAATTTATTTTGCAATCTAAACCAAATAAGAATCAAATTACAACAACTTTGAGCCAAGCATTCAACAGAGGCATTGTTTATTACTGGCTTGTAATTCTGAATTATATTGACCTGTCCCACTGATTTTCTCCATTCCTGCACAAAGTTACACTTTAGTATAGGACAGATCCACCTTTCTAGAGCATCTTCCATGAAGAACAAAGAAGGAGGTACAGCCATAGAGAGCTGGCTGGCAGATAAAAAGAAAGTATTTTAAGACACTTCAGAAAAGCATGTCAGCCCTGGTCATTGCGATGTCCTCTACCACAAACTTGTGATGCCTCTTCCTGAACATTTACCTGAAAATTTACAGTATTAATAGAGTACATTTACATTTCTAGCAAAAGCATGCTTGTTCACCAAGAGTTCCAGCAGACTAACATTTAGTAAATTCACCTTAAAAACACCTCCAAGTAGTAACAAGTTATATCAAGTACAAACTGGCATACAAAAACATTTCTAAATTACAAGTAAGTCTATTTACCTTGCTTCAAGAGTTGGATTTACTTCCCCAAAAGTCAGAGAGCACACTGTGCAATCAGAATACTGTAGCTGGCTGGCCAAGAAACATTCTGGCCTTGATCACACCGCCACTAAGTATCTTCAATCCACCTGTATTTATTGAAAAATACTTACATATTGATCACTATGCTATTAGCTGCTTTAATAGCATCTTTACATAGACGAGGTAATGAAGAACTTCACACTAGGATGGGGAAGAGTGGTAAAATGTCTTTTCAAATGTCTTTTTTTTTCCCCAAGCTGTCATAAGCGAAGAAAGTTCTCAGACTGAGTGTGCTGGAGTCCCACAGTGTGTGCGCCACAAATCAACAGCTTTGCTGACAATAGCATCAGTGTTATCTTGAGGAATCTACAAAAGATCAGGGCAAGATGCCTTGTCAGAGTACTTTATTTGGACTATTTTGTTTCAAATAACGATTTTAAATTTCCAGTTCAGATTTTCTCTCTTTATAAAAAAGAAAACAAAACTAGAATCCCATCTCTCTGCCCTACCATTCCACCATCCCTTAGTCCTACATGCACCATACTACCTCAAGGTTTTAGACAAAAAACTTTTATTTACAAAACAGTAAGATGACCACCCAGGCATCCCACACTTCACACATCCCTAACCCAGCATCAGGCAGAACTCATACTGGCTAGACATGACCACAAATATATCTAATCTAACTAACCTAGGTCACATGCGGATCCTACAACCCTGCTGTGATGCTTGTTACTATTCATAGAGGAAAAGTTCAGGGTCAGGTTCATGACCCCACCCTTACATCAACAGAAAACATACCTTGAGTCTATAGATTCACACTCAGGCAAGGAGCAAAAAAGGTGCCAGAAACCAACCATCTAAGAAGCTTCCACAAAAATTAACCTAACCTCGTCTGCATTTACTTTCACAGAAAAAACGTTTAGTATCACAAGGAATATTGTCAAATCCATACAAATATAGACAACATATTCCCCAAAGCCTAAAAAGTATTTCATTCTATGAAAGCCTTACCTCCCGATAGAAGAAACCACTATTCTCATCTCTGTGCATTCTCTCTTCACCTTGGTACTACTACACTATTCTCAGTAAGTAATGTAATAGTATCTTACGGTATGTTTGCAACAGGCAAATGACTAAGGCTGAAGCACACTTTTATAAACCATAAAAGGTGATGCAAAGCACAATAGAATACTTACATTTTCCAAAAACTGTGTGATCTTTTCTGCAGTATTCAGTGCTATTATTTTCATTTTAAACGTTAATAATATCTCCACAGCAACAAAAACGAGAATCTTGCAGGACCCACTAATAACTTTGTCCCAAACTCTACAGAAAGATGAAAAGGCATCACTAAACATTATTGTAGTGCTTATCTGCTTATTTATCTGCTAGAACAGTCTTTGTACAATCACCTTTTTCCAGATTATTTTTCTGAATAACAGCCACGTATTGAATTATTCGGGTCAGGGTAAATAAAAGACATTTTATCAATTCCTAAATCTGTACAGAGCAGAGTGATGGCAAGCAGTAATGTATTGACATGGTGTGTTCTTGTTTAGAAGTGGAACTGTTTATAAGCTCAAATACAAAAAGCAAATCTTGTTTTAACAGCCTGAACTGTGACAACTATTCTACAGTGTATGGTAAAGGTGAGAATTTTTCCTAGTGCAAAAAAGGAAACAAGCTTTATTAGCATGCCTCATAAAGACACTCTTCAGTTAAGTAGCTGAAAATTCAAAAGGATGTAATACTGAACTACTACATCTCAAGAACCTAAATATTCCAGGTCATTGCTGTATGAGATACAAATATGATAATACCAGCAGGATATAATCAATGATGTTTACATTAAGCACAAGGAACAACTATTAAGTCTTTCAATCCATCCCACTGTGCACAGACTCTCTCAAAATTACCTAACCACTCCTACCACTTGTATGAAACTGTACCTGGACCTCACAGTTTTAACAAAACCTGAAGGGCGGGCCTCCAAAGGCTGCAAGTACTTTAGCAACAGAACTTCAATGAATATTAAAAGGGATCCATGCTACTAAAACAGCCTGCAACAATTTGAGATCATCCTTCATCCAGCAGCTCTATCTCAGGCCCAACTCAACAGACTCGGGATGAAAGATTATCCAAAACCAGTGTGAAACCATCTGTCAGATGGCAGCTTTTATGGGCCTGCATTATTTTTAGTTCTTGAATTTTAAGAGCTGTGTCAGAAGGACTTTCTGAGGACTACTGTTCTTGCTCCTTCTGGGCACTTGTTAAGAGTGTTTCTCCTTCCAAATAAAAACATGTGGGACAAAGATCACATACTATCCTCCATAATCTCTGAATACAGTAACACTAACTGGAAAATATCTTCTGCAGCCCACCTATAAACTTGGATCTATGGGTGTGCTTCTTCGAAAGACAACTCAATTTTTATATTACCTTCTTTCTCAGAAGAACTTGCCCTTCAGCCTGGAGTGTCAGGAGAACACAACACAGGTATAACATGAACTTTGACAGCTGAATTGAAGAGTAGGTATCACACCTTTAAACAAGGATTTAAGAAGTGAGAGTCCAACAAAGAGCCATGAAGATGATTAAGGGACTCTAGCATCTCTCCTATGAGGAAAGGCTGAGAGAGCTGGGACATGTTCAGCCTGGAGAAGAGAGGGCTCAGGGGGGAATCTCATCAATATATATAAATACCTGAAGGGAGAGGTTGAAAAGGACGGAGCCAGGCTCTTTTCAGTGGAGCCTGGTGACAGGACCAGAAGCAATGGGCACAAACTGAAACACAGGACATTCCTGAACATCAGGAAACACTTTTTCACTGTGAGGGTAACTGAGCACTGGCACAGGTTGCCCAGAGAGGTAGTGGAGTCTCCATCCTTGGAGGCATTCAAAACTCACAGCTTGCTCTAGGGGTCTCTGCTTGAGCAGAGGGATTGGTTGGACCAGACAACCTCCAGAGGTCCTGGCCAACATCAACCTTTCTGTGATTTTTTTTTGTGAAATGCTTTTATAACTCCTAATGTGGAATGCTTGTTGCTGTTATACAGTGCTTATTTTTCACACTGTGACTTAAGTCAATTCTTTGTCAGTTTCTTAACCTTCTATTCACATAACTCTTTCCACACTATTTTCACAACCTCTCCATTCATCAAAAAATTTAGACTAGAATTTAACTTATAATGAAGAAATGAGGAGAAGAATATGTAAAATCCTCAGGACTATTCTTAAAAAAGAAGGAAACAAACAAAAAACCCACACAGACAGATAGGAAAAAAGGCACTGCCAATTTCTTTCCCCTTTGCAATTTAGTTTTAATTCCCTGTCTTGCTATTATTAAAAAATGAATATAATTCCCATATGGGCCGGAACAATAAATAATCCAAGATGAAAATCTTACTGTTTCCTTTCTGGCTCAAGCATCCCAGGACAAGTGATCATTGTAAATATTACACTGATGCTTAAAGATTCTAGACCTGACGTCAACAAGGCTATGAGAAAACTGAGATCACATTCCTGTTCCACACTGCACAGGTCCTCCATCTTTACTTCTAATACATTTTCCTTAGCAAATGTATCTGTTTTGAATCCAAGAACAGCTCCCCATGTGTTTCATGGGCATCAAAACTGTTATTATGAATGTCAATACAGAGTGTAGCAGACTTCAAAAACAGGAAAGAATTTTTAAAGTTCATATTAAAACTCATGTTAATCTGAATACAAACTTACTAATCCTATTATAAAATATCCAGCCTTCTTTCATTATTTTGCTTCCAAGTCTCCTGACTTCAGTTTCCATAATTACATTCCAGTAGGTTACATTTCATGCTTAGAAAACACTCTAATGTTTTCCTGCATTATTTAGTCTAATTCCAGAACAAATGTTTTAACAATAGAAAAACAGATGCAGTATCTGAATCACCAGTGTCTAACAAATTTTGGAAGAGGGTGCATAGCGAAGTGGCTGAGATGTCAGCACTAACCAGCTGTGTCTGCTGCAGTATTTTTCCCCTTAACATTTCCAGCTATTGTTACTCTCAATGCAACTCCACCAGCAACAGCAATAGGGGAATGATTGTGTGACACTGCGATAAACAGACCAGCAGTCAGCACCTTGTCTATACCAGTAGAGCCAGAAATAGCAACATAAACTGTGTCAAAAAATTGTTTACTTAGAATGAAAAAAAAAAAACCACAGCAGTTTCAAGGAAACATATATGTTGCTGATTCTATTCTAATGTATCAGCCTTTATACATTGTATCTCGATTGATGATAATGTAAGTATTCTACTTTCACTTTTTAAGTAACAGCAAACACTGAATATCAAGTGTACTGTCAGAGATTGCAACTTTTTATCCATTTTTTGATACTCCTAGAGATGGGAAAATTCTAACAGAAATGTCGTGCAACTGTGCCTGTAGCCCTACCAGGAATGTTAAAAAAGAAAGTATACACTGAATTCAATATGGTTTTTGTGACTATCATCCTCTGTGAAATGTAACAGTATTCAATTAACTGCAGGAGCACTCTTGTAGGTATTTCTTGAACAGTGAAATAGTTGTAACAACCACAAGGAAAAATAAAAAGAAACATGAAGCTATGAAGGTAAAGAGTATGCCAAGGACTATGCAAATGAAGCCATTTACTTTTCACTGAGCTTTTTCTGTAGACAAGGTATGACTTACACTGCATGTGCATGTGGGTGAGGGCATGGCATTCTCAAGGCAGTTCTCAGGTTCCGCAACCACTACAGTGCAGTAGTATACAAAAAGCATCACAGCATTGCTGCTCTCTCTTTTTCTGAAGTATTATCATTAATCTCGCAGCTTTTTCCCCTAGGCTACAGGGTAAGCACACTCAACCTTATTCCCTAGTTCTGGTCCTCCAGTCATCCAGGCCAGAGACATTTGAAGAGAACCAATGCTTCCTCCTCTGCCTGCACTTCTGGTGTCCTCCCAAGGGTAACTGGGCATGGAGGGACATGATGAGGCTCGCACAAATCTCGTCCTGATGTCACGTCATGATCTTGTGCCCATCTGTCTCCAGAGCTGGGAAGCAGCTCAATTACTTAGACAAAGGCAAACCAACTTAAGTTTCTCTATAGTAGTAGCCCACATGCACATTCTTATGACCTCCCACTTCATAGTAAATTTAAGGCAATTTTCATATTTCTGTTGTTTCTACTAACAAATGACTTACATTTTTACATCTAGATGTAATTTATGCAGGACATGGAAATCACAGATGTAAAACTATAGAAGCCATATATTAATACATGAGGTAGTGCCAGTTTGAAAGGCAGCCACAAGATTTCAGGAGAACTACCAAATACTTTGCTACAAACAAGTTACCAGAGGCTAATAACCTAACGACATCCCATCGGCTATTACAGTCCTGCTAATGCCAAGTCTTCAGCGCAGAATACAAACCCTGTTAGTCAGGGGCATGATACGTGATTGGCAACTTTAGGCCATTAAAAATGCCTGGCTTATTCACAGTTATATCTGCAAAGCTGCACTACTTCTGCTGTAGTTGGATCATCTGGGGTGACGGTGCTCAAATAAACTGGCAGCCACAGTGCCATTTTGCCTGTAGAGCTGAAGCCACAAATGAAACACAAAGCTTTAACAGCAGGGCTCTCCGGTTGAGGGGCCACACAGCACCATTTGAAAGCTCTCCACACATGGGGCTTACTCAACAGATGACCAGATATGCTGTTGCAGAAATCAAGCAAATTGGGCAATGTGAGTATAAAAACAAAGGTGTGATCCAGTTCTCTCCCTGTTTCAGAGACGAGTAAGCCTTTCTGTCCCTCTCGAACCTGTGCTACAGGCTGGTTCATGTTCTAGGAAGCACACTGTCTATATTCCAGGTGGGATACAGAACCCTGAGGATACAGTGCCTTCGGAACGGCCAGTCTGGTCCTCTCTTTTACCAATGTGGCACCTTTAAGAATTTTGTTAAGAAGCTTGTCACATAATATGTCAAGTGTATTAGGGCAAGCAAAGACACTGCATAGGCTCAAAAGAAAATTTTCTACATGAAACCTGTCTATATAAATTTTCCAAACCCATTTAAACTGATGCATAAATTTTACCTAGGGTATAACAAGAAGTGTGCTATAAAACAGTATTTATACTGAATGACAATGCCTGTCAGGAGTAAAGCTGGTATTATGCAACTTCATCTCACCATTATTGGATACAATTTCTGCACAGCATATACAAATCTCGTACACGTTAGAGAAAAAAAGAAAACCATGAAATTTAGATTTAGCTGCCTGGCAGAGAAGACTACAATTTATAGAAAGCAAGCAACCTCTTTAAGAAATACAGTGCTAAATCATAAGTTAAATTAAATCATAAAAAACTGAGCTCAGATCATCTCTCACTTAACAAAAAGAAAGTAAAACTCACAGGAGAATTGGAGACCTGTTTTCAGTTCTCAGCAGTTCCAACACTGCCATTTGGATACATTTCAGATAAGCATTCGGGCTTCTAGATTCTAATCCAAACTGAATCTCCAAGCATTAATTAAGTTCATCTGTCACATGCTACCCATGAAGTATGTTATTTCCTTAGTAAATGAGGCCATTATGATTACAACTGAATAATTCAGAAACCTAAACTGGCAAGAAAAAGTGCACTTTTATCATGTTCCCACAAGAACTGTTGGGAAAAGGGATTGCTGTGCCATCAGAAGTACCAACACTGAAATTTGTTTTTACTCCATAGTGATACAAAAAGCCAATATTTTGACCTTGGGGGAGTGGGGAGGAGTATTTAAAAAATTTCAGGTCATCAGAATATTCTATTTCAGAAAGGTAAAACAGTATACAAGAATGCTAAACAATACACTAACTAGACAAAATATTTCATATAAATGAACTGATTCAAAATGGTAGAAATTTGAAAGTAAAGATTCTGACAAGATGAAATATGAAATCAAAATTCATCTCGATTTTTTCTTTTACACTATCCAGATGACACAGCTCCATACAAGTTTCAACACAAATTTAAAAAAACCTCTGAATCTTCCAACAGCAAAACTGCTCTGATGCAAGTTCCTCTTTCAGCTCTACTTCTCAGCTCTAAGACCTAGTAGCAAAATTAAATCACATAAACTCTAAATAAAAGTATCTCCTAGAAGACATGCAAAGGGGTTCCTAATGCAGTAGTTTGCAAAGGTTATTTCAGATCATAGAAGCCTACAGAAAAAAAGGCCTGAAGAAACTGCCAAGTCCCAGGTAGAGCAGTCACTTCTACTGACAGTAGTTTAAGTTTTAAGGCATTAAGTTTCATACAGAGAAAGCACAACGAAACAAGGTCAATCATTATCTGCTGAAAGTAACCTACAAATGCAAATATGAAATAGAGATGCAGGCAAACCATACATGTTCAATTGCTTTTAAAGATGTAATAAACATTTTATACATGCTTACATAATTTGTGTAGCCATAAAGGTAGTAAAAGCCTTTAACCACCACATCACACAGAACCACTACCCAGAGAGCACTATTCTGGAGCCTTATGATGATGGTGCTTGATGAGAAGAACTTGCCATGTAACAATGACTGTGCTGCACACAGTGTAACACCTAAAGGTGTACTACCAAATCCATCAGGTTTGGTTCAAAAGATTTTCTTCTCTCAGACATATTCCTTGTCAACAGTAAAACATACAGAACCTCAAAGACCACAGTATGACAAGACTAGAGAGCATGACTTCTAATCTTATAGCTTATTCCCTAAAAGCCCCTTACTTTCATATGGGCAAATAAAACATTTTTTAAAACAGCTGTTTCCCACTTTCCTTCATGAAATCTAGATAAACAAGCAGATAAACAAGCAAGATTGCATTCACTATTCAGATTACAACCAACTTTACCATCGTAAAGCATTTTCTACAGAGCATTCTACAGAGATCTCTGTTTCCACGCTAGGTTCCTGTACTAGCCACTGAAATCCTGGAGGTGCTGGAGTGAAACTTCCCTTGAACCTTGTTACTTCTCAAAGTTTTCAGGCAGCTGAAAATGAAACCCCTGTTTTCCTTGTGCCATCTCCTGCTCAGCTATTAGCAACTCTTGTTACTGCAGAAAGTATATGGTGCTTTACATCTAGCTTGAATTTTCTGCTTTCCAATAGTTCTCAGGCAGCAGAACTATAGAAATCATACAAGCTTCATTTCAAAATCTCTTCAGTGAAGTACCATGCCCAAGAATTTTCCCCTTTTAAAAGCTGGACAACCTATTTCTAACTGTAGAATCCTGATACAATGCACTATTTCATTAACTTTGTAATAGTCAACTTGCCCTAGTACTTTTTAAAATAAACATTCTGTCATGGTTTAACCCCAGCCAGCAACTAAGCACCACACAGCTACTTACTCACTGCCCCCCCAGCAGTGGGATGGGGGAAGAATTGGAAGGGTAAAAGTGAGATACTCACGGGTTAAGATAAAAACCAGTTTCATAATTTAAAAAAAAAATAGTAATTTTTTTAAATTGTAAGGAAAAGAGGAAAAAAAATAACAGAGAGAGGGGAAAACAAAACCCAAGAAAAAAAAGTGATGCCAATGAAAACAATTGCTCACCACCCACTGACTGGTACCCAGCAAGTCCCCAAGCAGCCATCCCTCCACTAACGTCCACCCCAGTTTTATTCCTGAGCATGACATCATACAGTACAAAATATCCCTTTGGTCAGCTGTCTCAGCTGTGTTCCCTCTCAACCTTTTGTGCACCTCCAACCTACTTGCTGGCAGGGCAGGGTGAGGAGCAGAAAAGGCCTTGACTCTGTGTAAGCACTGCCCCACAGTAACTAAAACATCCCTGTGTTATCAACACTGTTTCCAGCACAAATCCAAAACACAGCCCCATACAAGCTACTATGAAGAAATTTAAAACTATCCCAGCCAAAACCAGTACACATTTCCAAAATCTTTTTTGTCTAATGATAATACAATATTACAATCACTCCCTAAGCAAGGATTTTGGTTAAAAAGCCTGAAAACTAACTACCATTCAGCTATCTATCACTTAGTGGGGATTTGAAGTTTTAAATCCTAGGAGGCAGGAAGTATCTAACAGAATCAACCACTATACTTAACTCCATTCAATGCGAGAAATGATCACACAGAGATTATCTTGTAACAAGTGGAATCAAATCCGATTATATCATTTCCAAGTCAATAAAGTTAACTCCATAATCTTACAGAAAAAGTAAGGAAAGCTCTTTGCCTGCTAGTGATGACAAAAAGCTAAAATTACTATGTAATTACAAATAGAAAGAAAAAAAACCAGAACTTGCCTCTGTAAACTGGACTCAGGTAAACAACCTGCAAAACACTTTTTAAACCAAAGATCATAAGGGAGTTTGCTCATTGCAGCACATGCTTTCAGATGCATCAAGAGCCTGTTATCTTCAATGTTCAAATACTGCTCCAGAATTTTAGGCTGAGAAAGGAATTGCAAAATTTTAGATAACTCACATCAGAGTACCCTCCATCCATAGTTAACACGCACTGTAAGACAAGAAATGTCTTAAAACTTCAATCGGCATAAAATAACAGGTTAAAATAATGAACTTGCATTGTTTTAACTAAAAACATCATGTTCCAAAATACAACTGCAATTAGGTAATTAAGTATTTAACTAAACAAACAACCTCATGTTCCTTGAATTGCTGACCATTAGCAGAACTTCCAAAATATGCAGTATTCCCTAATGCAAGGAGGTGTTTGAGAGCTTAAGGCAATGCAGAGATTAAACATGCACTAATTACTGCTACCTTCAGAAGTAAAACTGAGTTTCATTCACTTCAAACCTAATCGCCTTAACACATGTAAAAAAAAAAAGTCTACACACAATGCAGCAAAACCCAGAGAATCAATTCTGCAAGTAAATCCCTGTGCAACATATTAAAAGCTGGACATTGATTTCTTGTTTAAAAATCCAAAGTATTTAGAAGCATAAACACGTGGATAATTCTCATTTTGTTTAAATTCTAATGTCACAAAATACAAATTTTTGTAAATTCAGGAGTACTTTTATGCTTTTTGTCATAATGAGGTAAACAGCTAATGCCTTCAGCTGTCAAAGGGAGAAAACACTTCCTTTGTCTATATTCTAACATCCAGAGTCTTGGTACAATGTTCGTATTAAAACAAAAACTTGTCCTTTGAAAGGAATTACAGAAATTGGTATAGTTGAATGTATCCTGTCCAGCAACAGAAGGTAGGTTTAAAAAGTATTTCTTAGTTCCAAAAGAATAACAAACAAAGAACATGCATAATTTTCTGCAATGAATTTTCATTCAGTGACTGCTAGTGCACAGGTACTCTAATACCTTCATCTCAGTGATATTGTTAACTAGAAGTTTCTTACCTGTTAAGACTATTTGAAGAATTACAAAAGCTTTTGTAATTTTTATAAGTATGCATTTTCTTTACAATCAAATTTTAATTTTATAAACCAGTAAGATATTCAAAATTAATATGCTATAAGAGCATTTAAATGATCAGTGCCAGAAGAACTCTATTCCACTTTTTATTATAACTTAATTTGCAACATACTGTTTCTCTGAAGACGTAGTACCCTGCTCCATTCACAAAGCAAAACAACTGTGCTTTGTGTATCATCCAATGAGCAGCATATGGATGCCAAAGATGTAGCCTACAAAGTAGCAGACATACATCAAGATGTTCTTAACTTTGTGAAATTTTTAATTGTTTAAAATGAAGAAAATTCTTAAGTGACCAATTTCTGAGAAATGTAATTCAACTAGATATAATGTAAGCTTTAGCTAACCTAAAAAGAAAATAAGATGTAATTGAAAACTACCATGTAGTAAACAAAAACAATTTCTAATGTTATGTTAGACAGAGCGTCCTACAGGACAGCACAATCGCAACAGAAAAAGCACTCCTCCCATTTTCTCAAAACAGCTGGTGGAACAGAATCCAAGGGTGTCACCTCTGGCACTCCAGTTGTCTCCAGATATTAATGCTTTCCATGGCAGGCTTTCCTCACACACACACACACACACACACACACAAAGTGTTTTTTCCTTACCAGTTGTTGTAATGAATCTTTGTGCTTACTGCTCAGCTGATTCACAAAGCAACTGACAAGCCAATAGCATTCTATAGGATCCTCCACCATTTCCTCCATTGCTTTAGCAATAGCAAGAAACACTTCATCTTCAGGTTCCTGGAAAACAAAGCCAAAAAAGTGAACTACACGAAGTATTGGACTATCTGATTTAAATTATTCTTATATTCATTTTCCCTGCTACTTGGGAAAACAAACCAGAATCAACATACTCAAAGAGCTGTTCTGACATTCATAAACAAAACATTGGGCAGCAGCTGCATTATGGTGACAAATACCTATTAAAGCAGAACAAGTAAGACTTGTCTTGCTTTTAAAACCAAAACATACAACAGGAGTTTGGAACAATCCTGATTCAAAGTTCTCAAATGAGATAATATTACATCCTAACAAGGCAGCAATAATCCTGCTTCTATGCCCCATATTTTTGCACAGCAGCAGAATTTTTCATCCTATTCCTTGCTAAGGGCCGAACAGGCCCCTCAAACACCATTGCCACAGCTGTTGCAGTTACTGAAAAAACAATGCAGCCATGAGCTGTATGCCTACCTTCAACATACACAAAATCATCTGGCTTGAGATAAACATCTTCCTAGAGACAAATAAATATCTTTCCCAGGTGACGAGCATCTTATTCCCCACAATACATGACCAGAAGCATGTCATGGGTACACCATCATCTTTTCTCCTGAGGACATACTTTCCTAAGAGAAGTACCAGCATGCCTAAACCACAGTAGTATGACTGCACATAGGGTAGATGGACGGGAACTAACTCTAAACCAGCTAGACCTCATGCTAACAGCTAGATCAGAAAGTGTCTAAACTGGGAAGATGTACAAGGAAAGGCTCTATATTTGCCCTATTTCTTACAGTCTTCCTTACGCAGGCAGTACTGACTACATCAGGAGGCAGGGTAACAAGCCAGATATGTGTACACAGTCTGATCTGATGTAACCATCAGTAGCAGTAAACTATAGTATCACAAGCTTTTGAACAGATTACAACTCATGAAAAACATGTGGATAGTCTAAACACTACTGGGATATGCCTCTACTACACACACTGCTGCAATACACACATATCCCTACTTAAACTCTCTGCTTTCAGATGCACAAAATGTATTTCACAGACTTCTGTGACATGTGACTCAAACATTTCAAAATATTTAGACCAATCCAACACCATCTTTATACTCCCTCTGCCTCCACAACAAAACATCTGCATTACTATCAAGCAGTAACCTCTTATAAGTTTAAGGGGACAGCTACTGCACTGAAAACAGGCTGGCATAAAGAGAACAAGTGCTTTCTGCAGCAAAACAAACAGAAGTTATAGGACTAATAACTGTGGGTCTGCTAAACACCATCTCTATGAAACCGCATCACAGTACTGAAAGCAGCTAGTGCTCTGGGATGGACTGACAAAACACTTGCTCAGAAAAAAATACTGCTCTAGAAGGAATGAATTTTCAGCCCACTGGGTCACAGGCCCAAATCAAGGAAACTTCTCTATAGGAAACTTGCAGGGTAGGATGGCCACGTTCCTAGGCAATGGTAAGGGCACAAAAACACCCTCCCTCCTCCAACAAGAGAATGCTGTATGTAATCCTCCAGTCCAAAATATTACTAAATTTTCCATGTTAACTTTAATGTGGGTTTTTTTTAATTTTTAACTTTTTTTAAGTTCTTTTGTCAAATTTTATTACAGGTGAAAAATAACAAAGTAAGCTGGACTAGAGTGAACATGGATAAATTAACATTAAATACAGGATAAAAAGCACTTCAGAAAGTCCCATGGCTCCTTTCATCACCTCCTCTTTCATTGAGGCTTATACATAAGATCCACACACTGTTTTTATCATCACACTATAGACTCATCATTAAAACAGACTCCTTTAGCCGTATGGGAATACACCGTAAACTACAGAGTACATGCATTACCTGACAGAAGCCTGGATCAGTTCAGACTAACAGGAAAAAGAGGTCAGTACATTAAAATCTAGATTTAAAAACAACTAATTTAAATATATGATGTAACTTACAATAAGTCGCTGCTTGTATTGGCTCTGAATTATCTTTGTTCCAGGACATCTAAGAATATAAGCTCCGATAATCTTATGTCATTTTCATTTCAGTACTGTAAAGAAACTGAAGTGCACTAGAGTACAAAAGGCTTGAAGCCTAGCAGGCAAAATACACAAAAGAGATTTTAAGGCATAAAATCTTAGGGGAAGAAAAAGAGAAAAGCACTTTGACTAAAATGCCTCATTTTATACTAGTACATCTCTGTTCCCCATTCACCTTACTTTGTCTATCTACGTGCGTTTGTGGGACTACTTGCAGCTCAGTTTCTCACAGGCTTATAGTTTGAAGTTAAATAAAATACTGTATTTAAAAGACTGTTAAAATGACAACTGACCAATGGAAAAGCCAAGTTTCGGGGCAATTTTCCTGATTCCAGTTGATGTATGCGTAGGAAAACATCTACCTGTGGGGTAGAATCATTAATAAAACGAATTACACGAAGAGCATGGTGTATATCCCAGTACTGCTCCTTCCGGTACTTCATCACCAAAGCATGAGATTCATGGTGAGGAGGAATAATTCCTAAGGAAAAAAAAAAAAAAAAAAAATTTAAAAAGAGAGAAGGAAGGAGATAAGCAACTGTAAAGAGAAAAAACAGAGCACTCAAACTCCCTTTCCAAGAAATCTGCCTAAATTAAATTTCCACTACAACTCCAGCCTACAGAAAAGTAGGACCTGGCACTGCAGTTTGTTTATAAACTTGGTCAAAGAATACAGGGAGAAAAACTCTACAAAATTGGAAGTCAATGGACCAACAAAGCACCTTAGCATTATACTTATAAAAACGAATTTCACGTTAACTGAGCATAGGCAAAATCTACCCTTAAGACTACTGTTTCTCAAGCTCTTCTGCAAGGTTTTCGGAAATGAATGCTAACTCTTTTGTATACCACATCTGTATGCCAATAAGAAATGTCATTGTTGAGATAGCTGAAAAATAATTTCTTTATTCTCCCTCTCCAACCACCTTTATTTTTAAATTGTGAATCTTACTTGTTTATACCTACCTGTAGTTTTTAATACAGTACTAGTTGCGTATTTGTGCCCAGCTTCCATTTATTTTGAAAACAAGGTAGATGCAGAATGATTTTTACATACATTAGCTGTTCATGTTCTCAAATTCTACACTTCGTCTGAGATGACCAGAGAATATATGTACATGCGATTAACTAATGCAAATGCAAAAATACTGTACATTCCAGTATTATTTAATTTACTGTTAGCTCTCTGCTGGAAAATTCTTTAATCACTGTATCGTAGATTAATCCTCTCTAAAACCACATGAAGAAGCAAAATCAACCACATATAGGTTTAATCAGTTACAGATTAAAACCTAAGAACACCACCCAAACACTTCGTGAGGTAACGTTTTTTACTTTCTTAGCACAACACAAATATTTTTTCCAGTTTCCTAGGAGGAAAAATAAGAAAGGGAAAAAAAAAGTATTAAGTACAGAGGCAGAGAAAATTAAACTATTTACGATCTCCAGAAGAGATGCTCAACATTTCACTCAATCCTTCGCCTCACTCAAGACTCAATCTTGCCATGGGCTGATGTTCACAACAAAAATGTCACAGGCTTCAACAGAAATAAGATCTTACATACACCAAAGCAAAAAAATGCTACTTCCATATCACTAGTGGAGCAGAATTTTTCCCATTGTAGAAACCTACGAGAACAAAGTATTCTTCAAAAATCAGTTCTGAAACAGGCTACCTGCTGCTCTTATCTCTCATTTAAAGAAAAAAATATTCCTGCCAAGTGTTAAACCATGAATGGCTGAGTTTTAGTAACAAGCACATCAGAAAATTATCTTTTATTTTCCAACTGCAAACCTGTCTGCATTTCAAAAGCTGGGACAGAGCAAGACATTTTTCACATTATGCAAAAACAGAGTCAACATCGTGACTTTATATTTACATACTGCCAACTGCTTTCCTCAAATACAGAAGACTACCTTAGGCAGACAGAAAAGAAGCTTAAGCACCACAGGGATGTCTAGAAACCATCATGAGTCATACCTGAACAGGAAGTTAACAGACATCGCTGATATACCACATAACATGGGACAGCATGGAGCCTTGGTATGTGTCTGAGATAATTCTGCTGACAGGACAGACTCCCTGTTGTTAAACTATTAACATTATCTAGACATGTAACACCTCCCACCAGAAATGGACTGTGCTGTTGTTCCAATCATTTAGGGAGAGATATTTTGCATTGCCCTTCTGAACACCAGCTTTTCTAATGAGTGTTAACACTACGATGCAGCATAGGAAAAGTCTTTGTACCTCTGTTCACCCAAGGAGTATACAGAATGACAGTATGCATACTTGAAATATATCACTCTGTGTTTAAAATACAAAATCTGTTAAAGAACCAATAAAATTTTCCATACAGTTAACTCAGAAGGTGTTTTGTGTTATCATATGATTCACAAATCATCCTATCTAAAACAGTCAAAGATAGACCACTGGCTCTGCAGTGAGCTGCAATTTTGCCAAGAGACTGTATTTTGCTATTATAATTTGGGCTGAAGGATCTTGTACTGAGTCACTTGTCCAAACCTCCTACACTGTATTTCCTGCTACTAATATTTTAAATATTTTATGCTGACTGCTTCACTAGGGCCTAGGTTACAAGAATCTTTTTCATCCTAAAATCGGTACTCTTTAACGGCAAAGGCTTTTATCAAGTAGGATTACTCTGTTAGTTCAATGATCAATGCCAAGAACTTCAAGTTTTACAATTAGATCTTGCACCTTCTGCGCATTGTTCATTTACTACCTCTCCCAAAAAAAGGCTTACAAATCCAAATAATCAGGAATATGAAGCCACAATTTTTAAATTGGAGGGTAAAAAAAGAAGAAGAAAAAAAAAAAAGATTGTTTAGAACTCAGATAAAACTTTTTAATACATTATTTCAAATTCCAGACACTGTAGTGGAATATGGAGACCAAGAAGAGAAACAGAAGACATTTACTTGAACATAGTTCAACATCATGGCACTGCCTAAGATAAACAAACATCCTAAAACACAGAAAAACTGTTCTGTAAAATACTCATTCTGAGGGTGGAGTCACCAATCTTCCTGACTCTGAATCACATGCCAAAATGTTCATGTAAGAGATATACATGGGATTTGTATCACACATTCTGGAGAGTGAAAGGACAAAGAAGAAGTAGGATAGCTAACAGACAGCAAAAGACAGCAGCTTCCAAGCCAGTCTGCAGACTGATGCTGCTGGTCTCTCCCTGATGAAACAACATTTCAGCTATCAGCACCCTTCCTGCCACCACAGCCCTGGTAATACAAGACTGAGCACGGGAGCCACAATCAAGCTTTTCAAAACTGGCACAACGCTCCACCACCAACAGTATAGTAAATCACACTTCTCTTCCAGAGATTCAGTCAGACGATGTACCTTCACACTCAATCTGGCAGTGTTTCTCTACACGCAGCAGCTCTAATGGAAACTCTCCAGATACCTTGTAAGGGTCAGAACTCCTGGACCTCCCACAACCCCTCCTGTCTCCAAGTGACATGACCTCGCATCTAGTAAACCCAACACACTTGACCAGTTACTGCAAAATCATTAGTATTTTTTAATTAGTCATCTAACGCACTTCAAGGAAAACAGAATCTATTTATGGGGTTTTTTATGGTTTCTGGGGATACCATAGTTTGTCTCCAGCCTCAAAACTTCTTCAATGGCAAATACAATTTAAAGCCAGAAGCAAAACCAGAAGAAACCAAGATTTTATAGAACATAAAGCTTCTCTTTAGAATAAACATCCATTCCATACCTTGCCCAGATTTTTTAAGGTTAATCACAGCTTTACTTCAACTTAATTGTCTTTTATTTTAGGAACAGAACTGAGTATCTTATCAAGTATCGGTGACTTATTATAATCCACCCTTCAATTCCATTTTATAAGTTTACTTGAGTAGTGTTACACAGTTAAATATAGAAACACACTCTTCTAGGTACAGTTCAGCAAAAGTTCTCAAAAAATATGCATGGAATACTGTTTTATGATTGCCCTTGTACATCCTAGGTGAATATAAAAACAGACTAAATATGTATCAGTAAGCAAGGTAGTATAGAATAATCCATGTCATTAACTCTGTAAAGAAAAAAAAACAAAAACAAAATAAAACAAAAAAATATATACCTTCCTACACACTCATTTCTACGGAAGATCACAGATGTTATATTTCATACCTAAAAGCACTTTCCACACCAGTATACGATACATGGATGGGAGAGGAAACCTTTGACTAAATGTGCAAAGCTTCTCAATATCTGTAGAGAAATAAAGAGAAAAAAAAAATTAAGGCAAATTAATTATAAATAGGTTTGAGTCTCTGATCTACCTAAGCATGACAAATCCTTAGCTGCAGTTTTAAAAATCAGACTTTTAGATCTGATTGAAACTGATATGAAACTCAAAGGACTGCCAGTAATAACTGAGACATTGGTGGTAAAAGATGCAAAACTTAAATGAGTACTAAGGACAGCAGCTAAACATTTTCTATTATTCCCTCCCCAGCCCCAAATCACCAAATAGAAGAAACAGTGAAATCAACTTACCCAACCGGTCATCTTTTAACAGAATTTCCAGTGACTTCTTTTCTTCAACTCCACGAAACCCCACTTTCTCATAATACACTGATCGAAAGTTTCTCTGAGAGTCGTCAGCCATGACTGATTTCTTTTGGAGAAAACAGTAATTCCCCTTAAGACTTAAAAGAATACATTCCTACTGTGTTAATGTCAAGTACTTTTGCACACTGATAAAAGCTGACTACTTATGTCTCTATAGTATCAATAAACACTAAAGAGTATGAAAATCTTACAAGATTTTTTTCATCATATGCTGACATAGACAGTCAAAAATAACTGAATCTAAAAAAGGTCTAAAGATATCCAATTTCCAAATGAAACACAGCCATTTTTTAAAAATTTTTATTCCTATAGTAAATTACACTACTTTTCAAAAAGTTTAAAAAAAAAAAAAGCTGGAGAGACATTTAGTCTTTTCTGTGATATTGTGCATTTCAAAACCAACACAAAAAATACAGTTAAGAGTCTGACAAAATTTTGGCTACAGAAACCCTAATCAAGTACAACTGTTACCCAGATAAGTAAAATCATCAGGTTTCACACTCACCAGACAAGGTAACAAGAAGCAAGGACAAGCCAACGTTGGCCTCAGTAGCACAGGGGTGACAGGAAAGAATAAGGCTAGGTATGTAGGTTTGTTCTTAAACTGCAGATTTGAATTAAACGTTCATGTTGTTATCAGGTGCTGTAACAGCCACAGTCTTGAACTTGTTATTTCAGTACTAAAAAGAAATAAATGTCTCATCCCTATACTGGAAACAATGGCAAATTGCAGCGAGTACTGTGTTTCACAACAGCAGTAACTGACATTTGAATTCAGTTCAACTTTCTAAATATAAATTCTCTCTCCTCTGCATGCTTGCAAATATGAAAAAGTTCTGGTTTGTAACTCAAAGGACTAAAAACAATCTTAACTTTTATGCCCAGTGACAACAGCAAAATTTGGAGAAAAATAATTTGTTTTGAGTGAGGAGCAATGGGTGAATGATGCACTGAAAAGCTTTTCTAGTTAAATTCTTCTTTTCCTTGCTGAACCATTTGCGGATATAAACAAAGGCCATAATTTTGCAAAGAATGCACATATTTAAATTTGTGTATCCACTAGGCCTTTTTGTGTTTCAAATTAAGTCCATTTTTAGTGCTTTGTAGGATTAGGGCCAAGACCAGAGAGAAAATATAAACCAGCAAAGGACTGAAGGAATGCTTTCTGAGATAGGTCAAATACTATCTCAAAACCAGAGAAAAAATATTTATATTACTTGCAAGACATTCCAGTTGTGCACTATCCTTACAAAAATGACTGTGATGTTCATGTATTGTGTATTTAAAGGTCCAGTGATCAGTATTTACTACTTACTTTGCAGCCATGTCTAAAAGCGGACTTATGATGCTATAGACACTCAGCCACATTTAAAATACTTGAAATTTTTAAAATCTGAATTTAATATGTGCTATTTAGAAAACATTTAGCCCATACCACTTGTGGAAAGCTGACAGTAGAGTGACAGAACAGAAACAATAAATATAATTTAAAAAATAACAGCATGATCTATAAGAAAGGAATGCTATTTCAATAATTTTAAACTATCACTATACCAGCAGTACATTTTATTTACTCAGTGGAAAAAAGGAACACTGTTTCCTCCCTCCGTCCCTCCCAATTTTGGATATATATTTTCCTATTAGGCAAAATCAATGTTCCAATCTCTACATGTATCATCAATAAACTGGAAAAAGGAAGGGGGAAAATAAATCCCTAGCCAGCTCATTGGAAGTGTTCTGTACAATTAGCTCATCCCGTCTTCAAAGATTAATGCATTTTCGGCCTTAATATCACTTTTCATCGTACCGTTAAATTTCACGCCAGGTGCTTTTAACAGCAGCCACGAAATATACAACACTTCGTAAAGAGCCAGACATGATGCCAACAGGCTTCTGCCCCTTTAGAGAAGGCCCTCCCTCGCACAGACTAAGCTCAACTTCGGGCGCAGCCTTTGCAGGCCGAGCGGCACCGCCGGCACCGCTCCGGCCTCGGGGGCTGCGACACCCCGTTCCCTGTCGTATTTCCGAAGGAAAACACGGGTACGCTTGGGCACAGGATCATCTACCCCCCGCAAATCAAACCGCCGCTCGTCGCCCACCCCCCTCCCCGCACGCAGCCGCAGCCGCAGCCCCCTCCTGTGGGCAAGGCGGGGCAGGGACAGGGCACCCCTCACACCCGCCCGCCCACACAGGCTCGGGGGCAGGGGGTCCCCGCCGGAGCCCCCGCGGGGGGGGGCCAAGGCGGCGGGCCGCGGGCTGAGGGCTTGCCGGGGGGACCAGCGGCGGAAAGGCGCGGGGCAAGGCGGGGGGAGCCGTGCCACCGCCACCCCGGGAGCTGAGGCGACCGCGAGGCCCTGGGGAAGGGCAGGGGCTGGGGAAAGGGGACGAGAGCGGAGCCGGTGACAGACAAAAACCCGCCCGCCAGCACCGGGACCCCACCGCCGCCCCCCGGGACCTACGGCAGGCGGACGCGGCCCTGCGGCGCGGGCGGGTGCAGAGGGCAGTGCCGGCTCGGGCGCATGCGCAGGCTCCGTACCGCCGGGGCGGGGCGGAGCGCAGCGCTCGGCGG